AACTTTCTTATTCACCTGGGTATGAAGAACCCTAGATTTGTATGTTAGGTTTGATTGTATGAACCCAAGTAGGAATTCAGTGATATGATTATATTCAATTGAGGTCTGATTTGTTGAATGGCATGAATTCTGATCAAATTCCTATTGTTTCTGCTTTAACCTAGAAAGAGAATATCTGCCTAGGTTGATAGAGCACCCTTGATTGAAGGTAGTGAATTGAAGACTTTAGTCAAGGAGTCAATTCACTATTCTGTACCGGATTTACTTCGGTAGTGGAGGTTTGGTTCGTTAGGGCCTCAATCTGTTTACTCCGGTGGAGGTTAGTCGCCCGCTGGGGACTCAGATTGAGAGGGTCTGAAGACCTTTAGTCGAAACTGCAGACTGTTTAAGAACCTCCCGCAGTATAACTATCATTGAAATTGAACTTGGTAAATTACAATCCGTCTTAACTGCAGTCTAGGGGGAACCATATCCGGGTGACCTCTCTCAACTTGAAAACAACCTTTAACTGCTTTGCTTGTTTGCTTGTTTTGGACCTTCACTACACTGTCGTCGCTAAATAATAAGAACTCACGGAGTAGTCATCACATTTAGGACCCAGGTTGACATTAAAACCCAAACCCGTTATTCTACAGTTTAGGAGGTGGTTACACTTGGCCATTTTCTAGAGTGACGGTAGGAGCGAGTCAAATTTTTGGCGCCGTTGCCGGGGACGGCTAGGCTGTTGAAGAAACGTGGTTTTTGTTAATTTAGCTTTTCTTTTTAGAATTGGTTGTTTGTTTTGTCACACTTGTGCCTTCACGGGTTTGCTGCTTGACTGTGTGCAGGTAGCGCATGACCCGTAGCAAGTCGGGAGGTTTACTGTCGTTGGATCCAGAGCTTGAACGCACCTGTCGCCAACTTAGGAGACAACAGCGAGCTAGACTGGCTACGGAGGAGCGCATAGACGGGCACTTGAGCAGCGATTCCGAGGACGAGTACGAGACGGACGGTGAACGTAACCCGCCCCAGGGGATACCTCTCCAGGTTCCCCCAGTGAATCAGATCCTGGGGAACAACCCAATACCCCTACCCCTGTCAGAAAGGCTATTTCCTTTTTCAACCCTAGCATCAACCGCCGCCGGGTCCCACCTTGGAGTACTACTATACTCCATGGATCGCTGATATCCGCCCTGTCATCCTCTATCCGCCCATCCCAGCGAACAACTTCAAGTTCAAGCCATGCTGGATTCAACTCATTACATCTCTATCCAGTTTCATGGCTTGAAGGATGAGGAGGCAAGGGTGCATCTTTCCCGTTTCCTGCAGCTGACGAACGGGTTCAAGATGAATGGTGTACCCGATGATGCGATCTGCCTTCACCTCTTCCCCCATTCTCTGGCGGGGCATGCTAAGAGGTGGTTAGAGACCCATCCCCCATTGTCCATCACTTCTTGGGACGATCTGGTAAACAAGTTCGTACACAGGTACTATCCGGCATCGAAGACCATAGAGATCTAGCGGGAGATCACTCACTTCCGCCAAGAGCCAGATGAGTTACTTCGTGATGCATGGGAGCGGTACTTGGATTTTTCTGGCAGTGTCCCCATCATGGCTTCAGTGATGCATTCACCATGGGGAACTTCTACAGTGCTCTCTCTCCGCAAAGCCAGAGGGTGATTGGGTCTCTATGCCCAGGAGGAGACATTCTCACTAAGACTCCACCTGAACTGAACCAGATGATCAGTACCTTGGCGGCCAGAGATCATTCCTAGGGGCAGAGCACTAGAGGTAGAAATTCCCGGGACCATGATATGCACGCCATGGAGGCCAGGTGCGGGCTCGAGCGGGAGGTGGTTGAGTTAATGCAGACATTGAAGCAGCCCAACAGTCTTATTCCGGGCAGAGGTCTGACCGGACCTCCAGTAGCTCAATGTTAGTGGTGTGAGAGCTTGAACCATTTGGTGGAAGACTGCCAGGATATGCGGTAGTCGTCAACACCCCAGGAGCAGTTGGACTTCATCGCCAATGCTCGACGCCTTGATCCATACAGTAATACATACAATGAGGGGTGGCGCCAGCATCCCAACTTCTCTTGGACTGGAAACACCACCAAATCACCTGGTTTCCCAGCACCAGCGGGTGGTTTTCAACATAGGCAGCATTTCCAGGCCAGACAAGGGCCAGTTCCACAGCAAGAGCCTTACAAGCCTAGGTAGGGGCAGCCATTCCAGCAGCCGCAGCGCCAATATGTCGAGCCAGCAGCAGCTCCAGCTCCAGATAATCAGATGACCGAGCTGAAAAACATTTTAGCGGCATTCATGACTACCAGCTAGGCCAATTTTGCAAGGATCGACCAGAACATCGCCTCGCTGGAGGCAGGTCAGAGGAACCAAGGTGCCATATTGCTGGACCTCCAGAATTAGATTGGAGGAATAGCCTGTTAGAACAATACCAGGGCACCGAGAACTCTGCCTGCCACCACCATCCCTAATCCTCGCGAGCCTCACCATCAGCTGGATGCCAGATTTACCAAGAGTGGTAAGACGACAGCTGCTGCCCCCGCCCAGACTAGGGAGGAAGAGCCACGGCTTTCTTCAACACTTCCAGCTGACGATGCAGAAGTGGGGATGGAGAAGGAAGCACAGGTTCCAAAACCACAACCAGTGGTTAAGGAGAATGTACCCCAGCTTCCCTTCCCCACTCGACTACACAAAGATAAGCTGGAGACTGAGTTTGCCAAGTTCATGGCAATGTTGAAGCAGTTCAACATCAGCATACCTTTCACGGAGGCACTATCGAAGATGCCCAAGTATGCCAAGCTCATGAAGGATCTCCTCACCAACAAGAAGAAACTTGGCACTATCGAAGATGCCCAAGTATGCCAAGCTCATGAAGGATCTCCTCACCAACAAGAAGATGCCCAAGTATGCCAAGCTCATGAAGGATCTTTCTACAGTGATGCTGAGCGAGGAGTGTTCTGCTATTCTGCAAAACAAGCTGCCCAAGAAGCGTAAAAATCCAGGGAGTTTTACTATCCCTCTTGTTATTGGCAGCACGCATGTAGGAAAGTCCTTGGCGGACCTAGGCGCTAGCGTAAATGTCATGCCCTATAAATTGTTTAAAAAGCTAGACCTAGGTGAACCTAGAGCTACTAGGATGAGCATTAAGTTAGCTGACCGTTCCATTGTGCATCCTAGGGGTATCATAGAGGATATGCTTGTTAATGTAGGTGCATTCACATATCCTGTTGACTTTGTTATTCTGGATATAAATGAGGATGTGGATGTGCCTTTGATTTTGGGTCGACCATTTCTCGCCACCGCCAAGGCACTTATTGATGTGCATAGTGGTAAACTGATCTTGCATGCTGGGAATGAACATGCTACTTTTTCTGTGTCTGAGGATGGGGAGCAATCCCATTTGCTTGATGAATTGGATCATTGTGTTATGCCTACGGTCACACCTATGCATGCTATTTCACACCGGGTGCACGAGCCTGTCGTGTATCCTTCTGTACCTCTCGTTTTGCAGGATCCCCCTCTCACTCCTTCGCCACCACTTCCTCCAACCTCACCGCCAAAAAACAAGATAAAGGAGGAGTGGCGGTCGAAGCCGCAGGTGGCTAAGCCTGCTCGGAAGAAAGGTGGCGACCACTATGAGCTGGTCCCACCTCCTGCACCACGACCACCCAGGCCATCCGAGTACTCACTCGCTTGCATCCTGCCGGATGGCCAGGCCGAGCTAACAAATGCTGGTGGTTGCACCCGTCGGGTGCATGGTCACCATCTGAAGCTGTAACTCAAGAGCGATGTGGATCCGCTCTTGGAGGCACCTGTTCCTGCACCCCTTTGAGTATCCACCATGGGCGTCCAGCTAAAAGACGGTAAAGAAGCGCTTGTGGGGAGGCAACCCCACCACGGTTTGCATTTCTTTTTCCCTTTTTATGTGTTTTTGTGTCGTGTTGAGTCAGTTGCATGTTTGTGTTGAAGTCCGGTCGTCTGTTTTGCATCGATTTGGTGTTTTCGTGCAGGGGAGGTCGAAAATTTGGGAGAATGAGCTTTTTGGCCGAAAAAGGGGAAAAACCCGGCCGTGGCACAAAATACCCGATCGGGTATTTTTGTGCAATGGTCGGGCCCCATTCTATGTTCCGAGGGGAGAAAAGGGCAAATCCCCAACCTTGGCCCAAAAATACCCGACTGGGTATTTTTGGTTCTAGGCCGGGAATTTTCCAGTCTTGGAACGCTGCATTTCCGAACCCCCGACCGGGTATTTTTGGCTCAAGGTCGGGGATTTCCAAACATTTGAAACGCGGTGTTTCCAAAACCCCCGACCGTGGCCTCAAAATACCCGACCGGGTATTTTTGAGGCCCGGCCGGAGATTTTTGCTATTTAAGCAAACCCACGGTCGCCTCTCTCTCCTCACATTTTTTCTAAAATTTCCCCTCTCTTCCTCTCAAATCCTCTGCCCTATCTCCTCACTTGGTCGCCGCCGGCAGCCCTCATCTGCCGCCGGCCGCCGCCACCTCCGTCGTCGGTCTTTTCCGGCGACCGTCGGACGGTTTTCCAGGCCAATTTTCCGATGACTTTCCCTGGTCATTTTTGGCTCAATTTCGCGTCCCTCACCAATCTCTTCGCGTCTCGTCTACAGTTCTACTTGAGTTTCCAGGTGTGTTTCTTGTTAGCTGTTCTTTTTCTGGAAAATTGAACTGTATATTTTAGGACAGAGAACTGTGTTTGCCTGGCATGCCTGAATTAGAATAGGGTGAGGGATGCCTTGAGTATGAATGGCTATGGCTAATGTGTGTGTGCTGCCCGTGTGATTGAATTGGTCGGTTATTTTTTATTCTTGCCTTGATTGTGGTTGAGTTGCCTGCGATTCAACCGTTTATGCTTAAACTATTAGCCCAGGTGGTCCTTAAGTGTGGGGTAAGTGATGAACCCATACTGTGGTCCTGACGAGTATTTTCTTGGTTCCACCTTTGGTTTGCTGATTTTGCAGGATCATGTCACTCGACCATCTATTCGTGTAGGACCTGCGCCTGCACCCGGATTACGCCGACCAGTTCCGCAAGGTCACTCGCGGAGTACTCCAGTGCCACCACCATCTGGAGTGGGGAGTCTTCGAGCAGCTGCACTGCTTGAACGAGATCTCCACCACCATCAGCCACCGGGATTGGCAGACACTGCTGACCATCAAGGAGTCCACTTACACAGAGTTGGTGTGGGAGTTCTACACCACCTACCGCTACCGCCCCAAGGCGGCCCGTGACTCCCTCGCAGTCACCTTCCGGCTGGGTGGCAGGCACGCCAGCTGACCATTGATGGGCTGGCCTACGCCATGGGGATCCAGTACCACCCCTTCTCGCACCACGAGGTAGAGATCCCGAACTCGACGGACTGGAACCAGGACGGGTTCTATCGCCGGATAGCTTGAAACGCCTATGGGTTCGACTACTTCGACGTCGGCCAGACATTCGTCCGCACCCTCAAGCCGCAACGGCACATCCTCAATCTGCTGATCACCTGCTCCATCGTCCCCAATGTCACTGGGTCGCACAAGATCCCGAAGCGGGTACTCTACGCCATGTACTCGATGGGGTACCCGGAGCACATGCTGCACTTGGGTTCTTTCGTGGCTACCACCTTCTCTCGGTGCCACGGGAAACCCAACCATCTCTTCTGTGGTCCCCTGATCACCCGCTTGGCGCGCCATTTTGACATTGACTTCGAGGGACTCACGGATTCCTCAGCTCGGGGTGGCTCCACCCCCCTCAGCCGGAACGTGCTTCACAATGCACTCCTCCTGGCCATTGATGGCACCCGCTCCTGGGTGGATGGGCTCTCCTTGTCCCCGGAGGAGGATGCAGATCTCGATGAGGATGAGGAGGATGACAACTACTCCTGCGGAGAAGAGGATGATGATGATGATGATGGCGGGGCAATGGATGCTGATGAGCCGGAGCCCCCGCTCTCTCCACCAGGGGACCTTCAGCACGACGGAGACCCGAGAGAGGCGATTCCTCCTCTGGTCCTTCTGGTCTGTCGATGGCTTCTGGCCTGTCGATGGACTTCTTCACGGAGCAGTTCCAGCATATGGGACTCCAGTTCCAGCAGCTCGGACTTCAGAACCAGCAGCTCATGGACCATTAGGTCCAGTTCTACCAGCAGTATTCGGCCCACCAGTCCGAGTACCAGTCTAGGATAACGGTTTTGGACGAGCGCCTCGACTGGATGGAGGCTCAGATGGGAGTCACCCGTGCTCACATCGAGCGAGAGCGGGATCGCAGCCGCGGGATGATGGAGTACTAGGAGCACCTGCTCCAGTCCTGTCACCCGCCAAAGGAGCACCACTGGACCACCCGGTGGGACCACTCACCACCCCCACCACCACCGGCAGATGGGGTCGATGACCTCATGGACCAGATCGACTTCACCGGGCTTGAGTAGGTTGTACTTGTGGCCCCGTCTTGTGTTGTTTTTTCTTTCAGATTGCAAACCGTCTTGTGTGTTGGTTTATTTCCTTTATTTTTATCTTGACTGATGTACTATTGGGCTGACCATTGGACCTAACGTATTGTGTTTGAGTTCTTCTGTTCCCTTTAGCTGTGCCTTTGCACCGACTGGTCCCATTTCCAGTCCTCTTCACTCAGACTGGTCCCCTTCTAGTCTCATGTAGTCTGTGCACACCGGTAACATCGTTCCCCTTATCCTTCCCTCTTATCCATTGAGGGAAATGTCGAACTTAAGTGTGGGGGGATGTTTCTCTTTTGACTGCATTAGATCTGTTTGTGTGCTTGGAGCCTAGTCCACTGTCCAAATTTCAATTTGAGGGCTCCAAGTACGTGTCTCCTTGCAAGTTGCCTGCTCAGTATGCTTTGAATTGACAGTCTCTATAGTAATGTGCAACCTAGGGAGGTAGTGTAGCACTATGGAGGATGTTGAAGTATAAGATTTTTCCTATCTAGCTCTCTACTATGCCAGTTGATTTTGTGAATTAGTGAAGCTAAGACCGTTGAATTCATGTGGTAATGGTGACTCTGTTTGGATTGTGTTATGGACTCGTATCGAACAGGGTGCTCATGTGGGAAATGAAAAGCAGTTGGTCCTCCATGTCGAAATCATTGAAATTTTAAACATGGGGTAAGCCCAACGGGTGTGGCACCGTTCATTGCACCAAATAGGGTTTTGGAAGAGATTTTAGCGATCCTTAGTGGGGTACTCGTACAATGTGAAGCTAAGCTGTCTAGTACAAGTAAAATTTTCACCCGTTAAACGGTTTGCCTACTTGAGGATGTGTGTTTAAGGGCACGGATAGAGCTTCCGACCCCCCTTAATTTCATTGACCCTCCACACGAGTTGAGGAAAAGGAGTTAAAAGAAGTACTCTGGCGAGCGCCAGATGTACAGAAATTGCTCTTGCTCGACTAATAAGGGTCGGTCGTGCAAAAGACTGCAGTTGGAACCCCCGCCAAGTGAATGAAGAAAAAAAAAGAAGTGTCAATGAAAGTGCAAAAAAGGGGTTCCAACGGTGAAATGAAGTGAAAGAGCACCCCGGTACAACTAGTCTGTGGTTGTGAATGGTGTGAGTCCCTTTATCCATGAACTGGTTGTCTTACTTCCACTTCTTCTCATGATCCTGGCTTGAGTCTAGTACTCACATTGAGAGAGATAGGGGACGTCTTAGAAGACCAGTTGACCTTGTAAGTTGCTATATGATTTAGGAAATCCTCTACCGACGATCGGGGTTGTTTTTTGCTATAGAGGTCTGGAGAGTTGCATTGGTTTGAGTTAGGTTTGCTTGGGGACAAGCAAACAGTTAAGTGTGGGGGAATTTGATAGACCGTTAATTGCACATGTTTTTACCCCTATTCTTGAGCCGTTTGAGAGGTTGATTCTCGTGTTTTAAGCCGATTTCACGCTAGGTTGTGTGTTTATGTCATATTTCAGGGCTTGGCGTTGGCATCGAGGCGAAGAGACGAGTTTCGGGTCGAAAGGAGGACGTTTGAGTTGAAGTGTGCTGGAGGAGCAAAATACCGGGCCATGGGCAAAAATACCCGGCCGGGTATTAATCTGAGCAGACTGGGGAAAACCTCTTTTGGTCGTTTGAGAAGTAGATGGGGGCCCGAGCATTAAGGAAAAATCCCGGCCGGTATTCTTGACTTTGACCGGGGATTAATCCCCTTTCCGCGACGGTGCGTTTCAAGAATCCTGGTCTCCGCCTAAAATACCCGACCGTGTATTATGACCGGGGATCGCGATTTACAGCTTCTTAAGGAAAAAGAAGGGTAAAGTTGAGGGGTTCCGAGTTTTAGAGAGAAAAAGCGTATACCTAGAGAGATAAAGTGACGAACCTGATTCCTCAAATGCCTTAGATCGATCTCCATCACCATTGGAGCCCGACTTGAGCTTGGAGAAGAGCTGATTGAGTGCCAGAAGCAAAATCTCATCCTTCACAGTATGGTTTCCGCATCTGAGCTAGATTTCTCGTCTCTCTCTATGGAGTAACTTTCTTATTCACCTGGGTATGAAGAACCCTAGATTTGTATGTTAGGTTTGATTGTATGAACCCAAGTACGAATTTAGTGATATGATTATATTCAATTGAGGTCTGATTTGTCGAATGGCATGAATCCTGATCAAATTCCTGTTGTTTCTGCTTTAATCTAGAAAGAGAATATCTGCCTAGGTTGATAGAGCACCCTTGATTGAAGGTAGTGAATAGACGACTTTAGTCGAGGAGCCAATTCACTATTCTGTACCGGATTTACTTCGGTAGTGGAGGTTTGGTTCGTTAGGGCCTCAATTTGTTTACTCTGGTGGAGATTAGTCGCCCGCTGGGGACTCATATTAAGAGGGTCTGAAGACCTTTAGTCGAGACTGCAGACTGTTTAAGAACCTCCCGCAGTATAACTATCATTGAAAACAACCTTTAACTATCATTGAACTTGGTAAATTACAATCCGGCTTAACTGCAGTCTAGGGGGAACCATATCTGGGTGACCTCTCTCAACTTGAAAACAACCTTTAACTGCTTTGCTTGTTTGCTTGTTTTGGACCTTCACTACACTGTCATCGCTAAATAATAAGAATTCACGGAGTAGTCATCACACTTAGGACACGGGTTGACATTAAAACCCAAACCCGCTATACTACGCTTTAGGAGGTGGTTACACTTGGCCATTTTCTAGAGTGACGGTAGGAGCGAGTCAACATCAGTTGTTCCAGGTGAGATAAAAACAATGCGACCAATGGCATTGCCCTGTTTTCGCCTTGCACAATGCTTTGGGCGTTGATGAAACATATAAGCAGTTGGTATGTCCTCATATGTGAGTGCCCGAGCTTCTGCATCCACGCAATTCAGAGTAAATAATTTAGTCAACATTGTCTTTGCTTTTTTTGGGTCCTCAACAACTGATTGAAGAGATGCATCTGGATTACAGGCAATCGATTGTTGGTCCTTCAAGTGAACAGGAAGACAAACTACGGATGGCGATCTCTCATGTATAGGAAACTCATAGATGCGCCACATTGCTTCAAATGAGGAGAGAACACAACATTCAAGATACTGCTTGATCTCATTAGTGGCCTTTCGAGACGGACCATCTGAATCTCCTTGTTGCTGTGCAGTGGAGTTTTCAGCAACAACTGTGTTGTGACAAATCTCAACGTTTATATGTGCCTGAAATATGACCAGCAAGTTACGGTTGTAAGGGACGACATGACGATTGTCTAGGATACCATTTCCCTTGTCATAAGTGTGGCCATCATTACACCGACGATAGATAATGTACCCATTGTTATCGTACGTGGTTGTTGAGTTGAAGGGCTTCGGAAAGAACTTCTTGCACTTTCCTTCTACCATGCACTGTGACCTTTGATAGGACTGTCCGCAGGGTCCATGTAGCATGAACTTTGTCACAGTTGCATACCCAAGAGGGTCTTCCTCTGGATCAGGAAGTTCAGCTGATATGGTTGCATCAATTGCGTCTGTTGTCTTTAATTTGTCAACCTCATTAAGCCAGACCAATAGATGAACATGTGGGAGGCCGCGCTTTTGGGATTCAATTGTGTGTATATATGTTGACCAATAAAAAAACATGAACCTCCTGTATGGAATGTCGCCAGAAAAATTGCAAAGGTACTTTTGAACGAATATAAGCAAAAAAGTATCTTATTAGCATGGACACTAATGGCTCAACAAAGTGCTTAATAAAAAAACATGTGTTACAGTATTTGGGTTTGAATAAGAAACCTGCTATTGATCTTCCAAAAAATTATGGCGGTGAATCTGCTCCTTAAGAGCAACCACTTTCATCCTGAATACACGAACCACAACATCTGGCTTGTCTTCGGGTTTTAAGCCGACCACATGTTTGAATGCTTCTGTGATTTCTGGCCACTGTGCGTTGCACGTGAACATTATAAAGAGGTCTGGGTTTCCAATATGCCTACAGATGGCCATGGCATCAAGATACTGATGCATCATATATCGAGGACCACCAGTGTATGTTGCTGGCAGAACAGTACCAAGGTCTTCCCCGTCGTATCGCCTCGATTGTATGCATCACGAAGGCCTTTATATAGCTCGGCACGCAAGAGTTTCTGGTTTAGGCGCAAGAACTTCAGGTGGTTTTGTTTGATAGTTGAGAATGCATCTACACAATAATGTTGCAAGGTCTTCCCACCTCGCATCAGACTCTGGCCTTCTGACACGCCAAAACACAACACCAAACTGCGACCAAGTGTAATCGCAGTCCGGGAATGCAGTAAAATGGCAAGTTCTATTATTAACCCGGGGTCTAGATCTACTGCTTACTCCGTGATTATCTATTATCTAGCCAACTAAGTTAAGTGATTGTTGTTTAAAACAAAAGCAGAAAGAAAGCAGGAATTGGTACGGTTTTCTCAAGCAAAGAAGAGTCACTCGGGAATGAGTCCCCCTAGCTCCTTAGTTAGATCTCAATTGTAATTACCATGGGTTGATTTACTGTTGATTAGACTGCGGGAGATCCGACAGTAGCTTGGAATCTCTTAAGCTGACCAAGCCCTCTCAGTCTAACTACCCAGCAGACGACTAGTCTTCACCGGGATAGAAAGCTGAAGCAATAAGCACAGAACTCCACTACTGGAATTGGATTCCAGTACAAAGCAGTAAACTGGCTAACTCTCGTATAGTCAATTTCCTACTACCGAATGATGAGGCTCT